AATGAAAATGTTTGAAAACAAAATACAGCTTACTAAAAATAGGTCTAAACTAACATTAAAAATAAGTCAACTATTAGTGTTTTTTATGTATTTTCAGATTTTAAATCTTCTCTTGGGAGGTAGCAAAAATAAAAATGGGTAATTCTAAAATCTTTCAAGACTCAAAAAATATGTTTCTATATATTTATGTGAATTATAATTTGTGAATTATCTGTTTACTAGGTTCTGGGATAATCACTTCTACCAAAATTTTTAATTATGAAACGGACCCTAGAAGGTTTCTATTGATAGTTGATACTGGAGGGCTTGTGAGACATGTTTTGACCATTAATATCATTAATGTTCCGGAACCTCCAGACTGTACTGCTGACCCCCAGTTTTCTTTAGGCACAGGTATGATACATAATTTTCTTATAATTTACTTTTAACAGCTATCGATAATAAATGAGACTAGGCACATGTCTCTAGTTGGAAACACTAGTGATTTTTAGTATGTACATAATGTGTGTTTATATAAATATACCAAAATATGTGCAGCTATTCATGCATATAAGAAAACATATAATATCTCTATCAAACTGTTTGGAAAAAAATATATTTGCCAGATAGAAATTCTCACTCTGCAATTAAGAGATTAGAGAGCAAATAAATTAAAAACAGCAATAGAGATTTTTCTAAAGACGTGTAAAATATGTGAGGCAGTAGAGAAAAAAATAAAAGGCTTTGACAACTTTGTACATAAATTTAAATGTTTACTTATGAAAATGTCACAAAGAATATTTGACTTTAATACCCTTAAGGTTCAAAGGGTATTTTCATACTATAACAGTAAATAATGTGTGGGTTTGTGTATGGGGGTTGACCAAGTCAGCGACATAAGGGAAGCTTCCTCTAAAGAATTGACAATATTGTAGGTCCAAACTCTTATCTTAGTAAATAAGCAAGAAGAGAGAGAATAGTGTTTCATGTAGAAGGAACTGTATGTACAAATGCCTAGAGGCATATAAAATGTAAAATTGGAACGTCTACCATGATTGCAAAGGAGGGAGCACTATGTAAGTAATATAATTCAAAATAATTGTTGAAAGGTAATATGGGTATTTTAAGAATGTTGGTCTTTGCTCTAAGGGTGTGTTAATCCTTTTAAATATTTTAAGCAGTTAAGTATTTTCTTTCTTTTTTTTTTTTTGTGGGCTTCATTGTGTGATGTTTGACACTTATTGGTGGGATTTTAAGCTACCAAAGGTTAGTCAGTGGCCAGCTTTTTAAAAAATATATTTTATATGTTTTTATTCATTTTAGAGAGAGGAAGGGAGAGAAAGAGAAATAGAAACTGCTGGGGTCCAACCCCAGCAGGTCCAGGGGTCCCCAAAGGTGTAGACGAAGTCGGCGAAGAAGGAATGACACGGAGACAGTGTTCAGTTGATCAGCAGCCTAGCCAGGATCTCTAGCCAGGATCTCCAGCCAAGTTCTGGTCTGGATCTCCAGCCAAGTTCTGTTCAGGATCTCCAGCAAAGTTCTGGTTAGGATCGCCAGCCAGGTTGTGTGTCCATGTTCTCTCGCTAGGTTCTCCAGCCAGGTTCTGTAGCCATGTTCCCTCGCTAGGTTCTCCTGCCAGGTTCTGTCCAGGTTCTCCAGCCAGGTTCAGTCACCAGGTTCTAGTCAGGTTCTCTTGCCATGTTCTATCCAGGTTCTGTAGGCAGGTTCTGTCTCTAGGTTCTTCAGCCAGGTTCTCTCGCTAGGTTCTGTCTCCAGTTCTGTGGCCAGTTTCTGTCCAGGATCTTTTGCCATGTTCTGTCTCTAGGTTCTGTCTCTAGGTTCTGTGTAGGTTCTGTCCAGTTAAGTATTTTCAATAGATTCATCTGGTGAGAGTAGAGCAAGATTGGAAGGAAACAAACTTAGAGGAGGTGTCAAAAGATTTTGTAAAGAGCCAGATAGCAAATATTTGGGATTTTGAAAGCTAAAAGGTAAAATCAAAGACATTATTTATGCAATATTTATATAGCAATGTAGGAAAAAAGTTTATATAAATTTTTATTGACAAAATTTTAAAAATATAATAATGGTAACAATTGGTTACCATTTTACCATAATTTTGTAATAGAGGTATCAGTAAATAGTTTTTCTTGTCAGCTAAGAAATGAGCCACTTAGAATCTTATTTTTGTTGTAGCCTAATTTAAATTTATTTTTGTGAATAAAATCATTTATCATTAAATTTTTTCTCCTTGACCATTGTTCTCCTGCCAAAAGGGAATATTGTGATGAGTTCTCAGTCTTATAATTCTTATGTACATCATGTTCTTTTATGACACCTATAGTGACTTTTTATCAAAAACACAATGCTTTGCCACATAATTCAGTACCAATTAATCCACACTTAATCATGCTTTAAAAGTGCAGCATTCAAAATTCACATTTCTCTTTCTGTTTAGCCATGATAGGTAGGCATGGTAATACATAAAAACATCAATGGGAAGAAGAAAATCCAGGAAAGGAGAATGAAGAAGCAGCTCTGACAGAGAGGGAAGGAGGGAGAAAGAGAGAAACATTGATGGCTGCTGAAAAAGAGAGAGGAAGAGAGAGAGATAGAGAGTTAGAAACATCAACGGGGGAGAAACCAAGATGGCGGCATAGGTAAATACCGGAGTTTGCTGCCTCAAACAACCACTTCAAAAATACAACTAAAAGAAGGAACGGACATCATCCAGAACCACAGGAAGGCTGGCTGAGTGGAAATTCTACAACTAGAAGGAAAGAGAAAAGCATACCGAGACTCAGAGGAGGCGCAGTGCGGAAGTAAAATACTAAGGTGCGGAGGTGCATGTGGAGCGGGATGGCGGCTGAGGGTCTGGTTGTCATTTTCAATCGGGAGGGAGTCTCACGCTCTGAGCTCCAGTACCAGGCGAGTCTCTGGGGACCCAGGCTCATACGGGAGAAGCGGGACTGTCTGCATCGGTCGGAACCCGAGGGCAGCTTTCTCTCCGAGGGGCTTGCAGCGATTACCGGGACACTGAGAAGCAGAGCCTCTGAGGGCAAGACTGAGAGCAGCCATAACTGCTAGTCCTGCCCTGTTGATCCCGTGGGACCCGCCCAGCCCAAGCCCTGCAGGGAGGCTTTTGCTGGATAGCCGCAGGCAAAGGCTTGATTAGCACCTCCCTAGAGATCCAGGAGTCAGGAAACCCAGAGGTCAGAGTGGGACCATCCAGTTTGCAGCTCCCTAGAAACATAAAGGACACACTCAGGGGGCAGACTCAGTGAGCACCAAAGCCCCACTGAAGCAAGCTTGCCCCAGAGGGGTGTCTCCAGCACAAAAGTTCTCCCACCATAGACACAGCTGATTCTCACAGCCAATTGGCCTGGAGGTCAATTCCTCCCAGTGATAACTACAACAATCAAGGCTTAACTACAACAAGACTGTGCACAAAGCCCACAAGGGGGTGCACCAAGAGTGTCCTCCTCAGGTAATTGGGGAAGCTGAACCACTGGGCCCTAGAGGACACTCAGCACAGAAAACCACTTTATCAACACAGGGAAGCATAAAAAATGCTGAGACAAAGAAACAGGACACAAATGACAGAAATGGAGGAAAGCAAACTGCTGGATATAGAGTTCAAAACCACACTTTTAAGGTCTTTAAAGAACTGTGTAGAAGCCGCCAATAAATTTAGTAAGGCCCTCGAAAAGACTGGTGAGACCGCCGATAAATGTAGTGAGATCCTCAAGAAATCTAGTGAGACCCTCAATGTGATAAAGAACCAACTAGAAATTAAGCATACACTGACAGAAATAAAGAATATTATACAGACTCCCAACAGCAGACCAGAGGATCGCTAGAATCAAGTCAAAGATTTGAAATACGGAGAAACAAAAAACACCCAACCAGAAAAGCAAAATAAAAAAAGAATCCAAACATGCAAAGATAGTGTAAGGAGCCTCTGGGACAGCTTCAAGCATACCAACATCTGAATTATAGGGGTGCCAGAAGAAGAGAGAGAGCAAGATATTGAAAACCTATTTGAAGAAATAATGACAGAAAACTTCCCCTACCTGGTGAAAGAAATAGACTTCTTAGTCCAGGAAGCGCAGAGAACCACAAACAAAAGGAATCCAAAGAGGACCACAGCAAGACACATCATAATTAAAATGCCAAGAGGAAAAGACAAAGAGAGTATCCTAAAAGCAGCAAGAGAAAGAAAGTCCGTTACCTACAAGGGAGTACCCATATGACTGTCAGCTGATTTCTCAATAGAAACTTTGCAGGCCAGAAGGGAGTGGCAAGAAATATTCAAAGTGATGAATACCAAGAACCTACAACCAAGATTACTTTATCCAGTAAGGCTATCATTCAGAATTGAAGGTCAGATAAAAAGCTTCACAGATAAGGAAAAGCTAAAGGAGATCATCACCACCAAACCAGTATTAAATGAAATGCTGAAAGGTATCCTTTAAGAAGAGGAAGAAGAAGAGAAAGGTAAAGATACAAATTATGAACAACAAATACACATCTATCAACAAGTGAATCTAAAAATCAAGTGAATAAATAATCTGATGAGCGGTATGAACTGGTGATTATAATAGAATCAGGGACATGGAAAGGGAATGGACTGACTATTCTTGGGTGGGGAAAGGGGTGTGGGGCTGCGGGAAGAGATTGGACAATAATCATGCACCTATGGATGAGGATAGTGGGTGGGGAGTGAGGGCGGAGGGTGGGGTGGGAACTGGGTGGAGGGGAGTTATGGTGGGAAAAGAGAGGAACCAATGTAATAATCTGAACAATAAAGATTTAATTAAAAAAAAAAAAAGAAACATCAATGGGAGAGAAACATCGATCAGCTGCCTCCTGCACACCCCCCACTGGGGATGTGCTCGCAGCCCAGGTACATGCCCCTGACCGGAATCCAACCTGGGACCCTCCAGGCCGTAGGCCAACGCTCTATGCACTTTTGGGAACCCCTGGACCTGCTGGGGTTGGACCCCGGCACTGAGCCAAACCAGTTAGGGCATGGACTGAATGTTCTTGAGCATCTCCAGGAAAGCCTGCGGGGATGGTGCCTCCACATTCTGGAAGGTGTTCTGGACTCTGCTGTAAGGGAAGAAGCGTTTCTCCTCTCGCCAGATGAATCCGAAGTGGTTCTCATCGAACAGGATGAAGACTCCGGGGAAGCTCTTGCGGTTGGATGAGCCAATTATGGCAAGAGTGTCCACGCCTTAGAAACACATCCTGCAGGTTCTGGGGTAGTTCCGGCCTCTTGAGCGCACGCCCACAGGCAGAACAAACGGAACAGGCTGCTCCTCCCGAGCTGCAGCCCTGGACTCCCCGACGCTGGGCTGGGCAGGGCTCTGCCAGCCAAGGCCCTCGCTTTCCTCAGTCCCGTCTTCTTGCTGCTGCTGCTGCTGCTCCCGGATCACCTGCTCCTCAATCTCCTGGACCACGCGGGAGAGCTCGTTGAAGTTGCTGAAGATCTCGCCATCTCGCAGCTGGATGCGGCGCATGAGGTGGATCTGTAATGTCTTCTTGGAGTCTCCCGTGATATCGGTGACCCGGGCATACTTCCCATGGAAGCTGAGCATGGCAATCTTTAGGCCAAAGTCATCGAAGTAGTATTGGAAGAGGCCTGGCCTGATGAGGTCGTCTGGGTGGCTCGGCGGGAGGTAGAGGCGGCGGTAGGGCAGGCAGTCATACCGCTCTCTGTCCTCCCCTATCTGCACCCGCACCCATTCATCCCTAAGACTCGCTGTTAAATCCTTTCGGTGGTATGTCTGGTTGCAATGGGTGGTGAACCAGTCCTTCTGAATCAGCACCTGGCGGTTGTGGGGCCTGCTGTGGAGGCCTTCCATGCACTCCACCGCGGCTGATTTCCTCTCCGTCAGGCGAATTCTGAGCACGGGCTTGAAATGTATGGGGCCACCCACCCACATGGGTGTGCAAGGAAGGCCTGTATTTCCAACCAGTAATGCATAAGCCGTCCACCACGACATTCACTAGTGTTCTATAGCTACGATCTAGCTGCCACAATCCCAAAATGTTTCTGTATGGGAACAACTTCGTATAGACTTCTCGATAAGACATACCCATCATCTCCAGGTTCTGCAAGTTTTCACGAATGCCAAACTCCTCCCGGCAGCGCCGTCTCCAGATGCTGTCGATGTGCAGGGTGTGGTGGAATTTGGTGCAGGCCTCGGCCAGGCTGGGCAGGTCGGTGGCGGGAACCCGGGCGAAGATCTCCACCAGCATCTCCACCGGCAGGTCCTGCAGCGAGCAGTGCGGGGACAGCGGGGGCGGCATGGGGCTCGCGATTCCTCCAGTCTCCGCACAGCACCGCGCTGCCGCGTCCCCCTCGAGGTGCTTTTCTGCCGGGGCTGGCTTGCCATCTGCCGCTGCCATCTCAGCTGGGCGCTGGTGCTTCTGGGGACACCTACATCCCCGCGAAGAGCCCATTCCGCAGAGGCAACAGCCATGCCTCCACAGGTAACAGCCACAACAGCCCGGGCCTGTGCACCTCAGCCAGGCTTTAAGCGGGCTCGTCCCGGCCACGCCCCCAGGGCCTAGCCACGCCCCCTCGGAGAGGTACCAATTGTAGGACTTTCCTTTTTTTTGAAATAAATCTTTATTGTTCGGAAAAAAAACAAAAACAAAACATGAATGATAGGTCGGCCTGGCAATAAGTAATAAGTACTCTCAATGCTGTGATGACTGGATTAATGCAATTTACAGTACAATATGTGAAATAATGAGAGCACCACATAAGGTCTCTATCTCTATTACCAAACTGCCACCATACTAAGAATGCAGCGATAGACAATATGCAAACAAGTGGGTTTACATATGTATGTTTTCTACTACACTTAAACACTGAAATTTGAATTCCATGTAAATTTATTCTTTCTTTTGATTTTTTTTTTTTTTTTACCGTTTATAAATGTAAAAACCATTTTTAGCATAAAGACCATATAGAAACAGGCAGCAATCCAAATTTGGTTCATGGGTGGTAGTTTGAAGACCCATGGAATAGGGAGAGGAAGTGTAATTATCAGGTTATTTCAGTAATCCAGGCAAGGAATAGTATAGTTTGACCTAGGAAGGTTATGGAGATAAAGATAAAAGAATAGTATGGAGATACTTAAATAGTAAATGAACCTGCTATTAAGTTAATATAAGGAAAAGCAGAAAATGGAGATTTCTGATTTATATAAGTGGTTTGGAGATCCTCAGTGAAGCTATCTAGAAACAGACCAAATTTGGAGAAAAAATTATGAGTTCATTCTTGAACATCTTGTGTTTGATATGTCTTTGTTATTCAAAGGAGAGATTTAAGTAAGCAGTTGAGCTCAGAGGTCTTGCCTAAGGTTATAAATGTTTTTTAATTGAAACCATGGATTTGGATGAGATTATTCAGCTAGTGAGTAGGGAATTAGAAGAAAGGAGGGCACAGGGCCAAACCTTGAGGAACTCCTACACTCAATGATGTGAGGAAGAAACTCAGCCAGCCAAGGAGATTAAGGAACAGCTAAACTGGTGGTGGAAAAAAAAAGAGTTATATCCTGAATGGCAGAGGAAGAGTGTTGAAAGAGGGTGCCAGTGGTTAGTAGACTTGAATTCTAGAATCAAGTAAGATGAGGTATTAAAATGTTCACTGCATTTGGTTAGTGATATGGGGATAGTGATAACTAATGAGCCTACTGAGAACTATTCTATTGGTTTTACAGGAGTAGAAGCCAAAAAGAAGCAGACTTAGGAGTGAGATTGTGAAAATAAAAGCCATTTTTTAGGAAATTAGCATGTAAAATGGAGAGAAAGCAGTGACAAAACTGTATTGGATTAAAAGAGTTTTGGGGTAATGTTACAAACAAATGCGGAGAATACAGTTGACTGGGTGGTTGAAGATACATGATGAAGAAAGTAAGAGAGAGATGGTATCAAAGTTTAGGGGGAATCAATTAATCAAGCATTTATCATATCAACATTTACATACCAATCTTTACACTTTTATTTTTATATTTAGAAAATTCAAAATTCCATGAAGCTTTAAGTTTTCTCCTTTCTGATGGTACTTTCTAATTTCTGAAAAAGTGCTAGTGAAGTGAGGGTCCCAGGTTATTTAAGTGTGTGCCTGAAAGAAATGTTCTTTATCATTGGTATTCAAATATATTATTTTGAAAGAATTCATCATTATCTCTTGATTTGAAAAAGTCATCGATAATATTTTTTTAAAAAAAACTATATAAAATAACTTTAAAATTATTACTTTGAAATTTGGACCATATAAACCAAAACAAATCATTCAGTTAATTTAATTGCCATAATAAGTATCTTTTAAATTGGTTGTAAAAGTAAACTAGGATTTTTCTACATGCATCTCTATTATACTGTGCTAAAATATCACATTCTTTTTCTTAAAACGGGACATTGATTACAAACAGAAATGTAATGTTTATTATGTTAATGCAAAAGTATTTTTTCTAATATTCACTGTTAAAGGCAATAATCTTTGATAACCATGTACAGTTATTTTTATAGCAAACGTACACACATACATATGTATACTTGTTCAATAATGATATTGGCTATGAATGTGCATAAGTAACTAGAATACCTGCATTGTTTTTGTTGTTGTTTGTCCTTTTCTCTTTATCAAGGAGAAATACTTTGAGCAACCTCTCCAGACTCTCCTGGGCTTGAAGCCCCCTTCTATGTCATACTGAGGACCCTTGAGTCCTTGTTTTCCATTCCCAGTGTTATCCAGGATATGAGGTGGTAAAAGTGTGCACTAAGGGATGGCCGAATAGGTTGGTGGACAACAGAGACAGAAGATTGTTAAATTGTTGATTAAGATTTGAAAAGCAGCCCTAGCTGGTTTGGCTCAGTAGATAGAGCATCAGCCATCCCAGTCAAGGGCACCTGCCCGGGTTGCAGGCTCGATCCTTAGTGGAGGCTCTGCAGGAGGCAGCTGATCAATGATTCTCATCATTGCTGTTTCTAGCTCTCTCTCCCTCTCCCTTCCTCTCTGAACTCAATAAAAATATATTTTTTAAAAAAACACAATGATTTGAAAAGCAATCATGAGGATTTTGTCTGATTTGAAGACTTAATGGATGTCTAGGAACCTTGCCAAGTTTTATTTTCCCAGGCAATATTTTTAGAGGTACTCAGAAGTTTTAGAGCAAATCCTCTAGATTTGCAGTGATCTTTTTGTGCCAAGAGAAAAAGCAAGAGTCAACTGTGTAAACACCAAAGAAAAGTTAAGATGGACACTAAGTATTGATTAGGTCTGGCAGCATGGAGAAGGCCTTTGATGACTTTACGAAGTTTCAGTGTTTGTAGTGGGGGCAGAACTTGTAGCAGAGTGAACTAAAGACTTACTGGGAGGTGAAGAAATACACAAAACTCCCGCCTTGAAGGGCAGGATATAGACAGGGCCATAGTTAAAATTTGCTTGAAGCCAGGTACTTCTTTTTCTTTTTCTATTTAATGGACATGCTAATGGAAATTAGACAGTAATGAGGGAGTATTTTGAAAATGAAAAATAAAGTTAGAGTCAAGTTCCTGAGAAAGTGGAAGAGGAGACACCTGCTAATGGACAGGTATTATCATTAATGAATATCCTCCTTTCATTGTAAGAGGAGGGGAAAAGGTTCAGATGTTGGTGCTATCGGAGGAGTACACGAGTGGGATTCCTCCATTGTTAGTGGGAGAGGGGCTCCTGGGGAGCTGCTGAAACGAGCACTTTCAGAAACTCCCACTGGAGAATGAGGTATGGGTGGAAGACTTTATTTGCATGGAGTTACATTCCTCAGGTTGTGAAGTCCCATGCCCTTTAAACCAGTCCTGAAAAAGGAACAGCTGTGGATTCGGCGAAGCCAAAAGGAAAGCCAGCCTCCAGAGCTTCTGTTCCATATTGCAGCCGGGTCCAGTTCAGCAGTCAGGCTAATGAAAGCCCATCAGTCCATTATGAGGGCCCCACACAGCCAAGGGCTTCATGGGCACAGGCAGCAACAGGAGTCACAGGAGTGCAGCAGGCAGGAGAGGCAAGAGCCGAGAAAGAGAACTTCCTTTGCTTAGAAGTTTAAATATTTAGTTTTCAAGCCCTTGCAGTGGCCACACCTATTCTGGCCACTGACTCGCTCCCAGCTGTGATTGACAGCCAGGTAAGCACTTCCCATGTCACACAGACCTTATTGGGCATTCATCAAAACTGCCTTTGTCCAGTCCTTTCCCCCTTTGATCGGCTGGGAATAGATTTGGAGAGTGTTAGATTAGCAAAGCTATATAAAGGGCATGGCTATATTATTTAGTCTTCCCTTTACTCCTTTCCTGTTAAAAAATAACCAGATTAGAGATCTTATGGGAAAAGAAGAGCTATCACTAGTCTAAGTTTCTATTTATTCTGTACAGTATGAAGAGAGATCCCCTATGGGAAGTAAGATAGAAGGGACAGGGGAAGAGATTTGGGGCAAAGGAGCAAGGTTTGAAATAATTGTTGTAGAAAGTTAAATAAACAGAACAGAGACTTGCTTAAGAGCACTGAGGTTCCTATACACTTATTCCTCTATTAATTTTCTTTGCATTAAATAGTTCAGGCTTATACAAAAGTATCACAAAATCTGACTTTTTTAATGTTAAATAATGAAAAACAATTTAAACTCAATTTTCAGATTATTTGAGTCAAAGAAAAGTTATAGATGCCAGTGTATTTCTAACACATGTACTTCATTTATTGTTTTGTTTAAAAATATTTATCTTAAAAGCACTTTTATTTTAATTATGTCTTTGCCTTTAACAAAACAAAATTGGAAGATATGAAACTTCATTTTTTAACTTATGTATCTTGCAAGCATGGTACTTTCAACATAATAGAAGTTTTGATTCTTGTTTTTTTTGTTGTTTTTTTTTTCACATTGACTTATTCTTTCTGGCAGCAATTTTATATCACTCTTAGGTTTGTAGTTTGCTTTCCCTTATTCTTTTCCCAACAGCTTTTATGTGTTACCCTTTGCATAACACAAGGTCTCATGGTAGGATGGAAACTTGAGACATTATTTGCCAGGATTTATTAAAATTTTTTCCTTTCTTTAAAAAAAACTTAACTTTATTATAAAGTTTGGTCACATTCTATCTTCAAGTTACACTGAGGGCAGGCTTTTGTGGAATTCTATTTCTTCTTTTTTTCAGTATGCTCTTTGAGAAAATATTGGGAGACATGCTTCTAGGCAGCTATCATTATCTTTATTATTTTATTTTCTTCATCTCCAAATCTCCTGGTAACTCATTTTAAATGCAATTACATTAGAAAACATATCAATTAAATATAGTTGGGCAACTTGTTAAAATTTAAATTTGTTATAATATACTAGAGGCCCGGTGCACAAAATTCATGCACTCAGGGGTGGGGGGAGGGTCCCTCAGCCTGGCCTGTGTCCTCTTGGAGTCTGGGAGCCCTC